CTTCGTGGTTAATGAAGAGAAATCTGCCATTATTCTGACAGGTTTTCCTCTAAATTTGATCTGTTTCTTTTCTTTAGTGGCTTTAGTATACTGTTCCTGTACTGAATTTCTGGTATCCTGATTATTATTTGTCTGGTTGTGTTTTTAATTGGGTTGATGCTATTTGGAGTTCAATATGCTTCAGTTACTTGAATGCCAGATTGTTTCCTCATATTTGGGAAGTTTTCTGGTATTACTTCTGCCCATATTCTTTTTATATCATTTGTATTGACTCCTTTTTCATTGATGCCCATTAGTCTTACGTGGTTCATCTTTGCATTGTCTTGCAGATGTTGAATTGTTTTTTCCTGAAGCCTAGTTGTTTTTAAGAGATCTTTTCTTACCTTTTCACTAGCTACAGTGATGTCTTTAAGGTCTGAAAGTCAATTTTCAGTTTCAAACAGTTGTGCCAGCTTGTGATTGAGGTTTAGTTTCCTGTATAGCACTTTGAATCCTTCATGCCTTCTATTTCCTTCCTATATTGCTTATTCAAAGATTCCATCATTTCTATCCTCCTCTATTTTTTATCAGTGTCTTCTTTAGAAGCACTTAGTACTACTTTCCTTATAGTTACCATTTCTTATTTTACTTCAGAAATTACTTCTGATCGGATGTCCTCTATACCTTTGTGAAGTAGTTTCTTTACTTCAGACGCTATTATTTCAGAGATGTCAGGTATGCGATTTCCAATTTCTTCTATGCTATTGTCTCCTGCATTTGTTCTAGGTGGGACTGGAGCCTGAGAATGCATTTCTCTCCTTCTCTTTGTCATTTTATATAGCACTGTCTTTTGACCTTTGGTGCAGATCTTTGATAGAGTTGTTATCTTAGCAACAGGTTTGGATATATCAAGGTCAAACTCATCTAGGTAGTATGGCTTGGGTCTGGCTGCTGTGCTCCACTTCTTCCTGCTGCAGCCCTTAGAGGTGAACCCGCTGTGCCACTCTGGCAAGATGTTCTGCTCCTGGATCAGCTGGGTTGGTCCTGCCTCTAGCCTCTCAGCAGGGAGTTCTGACCCAGAGTTCCACACGGGGCCAGGATGATGGAGGAAGTTCCACTCATAAGTCGGGCCTGGGCACTGGCTCAAATGAAGATCTGACAGGCCTGGGTGGTCTCACTCATGCTGGGCCTGGGCTCCATTATTGTTAGTTATTTAATAGGAAGTTTTCTTTTTGTTATAATTGATGACTCTCAGTGTTTTATTTTCATTTGAAATCAACTCATTTTTTCTTTCTACTTTATTATTGGATTGTAATAAAGATTTTTCTCTTATATGAAACATGATGATAGTGTTGTGGGTGATACAGGGAGAAAAACTGGTCTCGGGTGGGTGACCTCCAAACAATATAGAGAACCTCCAAATGACATAGAGAAAAACAACCTCTGGACCTGACCTTCAGGAGTTTGTGTTTTCTAAAACCGAAGAATGAATTTTTGGAACAAATGGAGGTTATGAGCAGAATATATTTATTGAGAGAAAAAAAAGCTCCTGTCTGAGAGAGGGACAGGAGGGAGGGCCTGAGTAGGTAGTTCCCCCTGGGAGGTTGTCTCTTGCAAGGACTTTTATAGAGGAAAACTATGTGGTGAGGTAGGTCTAAGGTGGTGGAGAAAACATGGAAACTTGCTTAGTTGGGCATAATGTGGGGTAAAACTATGGTCAACCAATGAGATTACAAGCACCATTGCTCAGGTAAAATTGATTAAATCCAGTATCAAATGAGAAAGCTAGTGACATTACAAGGGGGCATGAATCTGGAACAGGGTCTCTTCCTGTTGGGGGTTGGGCTAGTGACTCATTTGGGCTCTTTCAAGTTGATTGATACTATTTAGGATATCAATCCATAATGCCCATCCCTAGGGAAGTATGTAGCTGTGCTTCCTCTTTTTGTCTTGGTTTTGAGGTGTGGCCCATATGGGAATGTCTGTCCCTACAACATTAGGCAGCTAAATTACATAGAAATATTACAGACAGTCAGACAGGGCCAGGCCCTCAAGGCGACAATATTGAAGACAAGGTGGCTTTGCAACTTGAAAGAGACAAACACTTCCCTATGGGCCAGACCTCAAGACAAAAGAGGAAACAAATTCAGCTGCATACTTCCCTAGAGATGGGCTTCAGAGATTGATATTCTAAACAGGTATCAAGTACCTTGAAAAGCCCAAATGAATCACTAAACCAACCCCCAACAGGAAATGACCCTGTCCCATGTTCATGCCCACTTGTTACTTGGCTGGATTCCTCAATTTGGCACTGGATTTAATCAATTTTGCCTGGCCAATGGTGCTTCTAATCTCATTGGTTGACCATAGTGTTGTGCCACCTCATGCTCTCCTAAGCAAGTTCCCATGTTCTCCACCACTTTAGACCCACCTCATCACATCATTTTAACTCTATATAAAAAGTCCCTGGAAGAGACAGCTTCCCAGAGATTACCCATTGGGGTCCCCCTTCTGTCCCTCTCTCAGACAGGAGTTTTCTTTCTCCTAATAAATAATTCTTCTCTTAACCTCCATTTGTTCTTAAAATTCATTCTTTGGTTTTAGACAACATGAACTTGACCCCAAACCTTCAGGTCAAAAGTTTCATTTTTCCCCTATATCAATAAGAGATATAATAAATTAACAGTTAAAACTCATGTGTGAAGGGGCCAGTGAGATAGCTCAGTGGTCTAAAGTGCCTAGTTTGGAAAGTTTAGTCAAGCCTGCAGGGACCCCCGTTCAATCCAAGGCACCATGGGCCATGCCAGCCCTGCCTCTAGGGTGGGCTGAGCTGGCCACACACACACACACACACACACA